CTTATTCTACTGAGCTATCTCCCTGGCCCTTAAGTTTATAATTATAAATAGATTTTAGTCAGAACTTTGGTCAATTAACAAAGCTCTTTTGTAATAAAAATTAAAAAGAATGAAAACTTTGCTCATTTTTTTGTATTTTAAGAATTTTGGTGGGGCCGGGGAGATGGCTCATTGGAATAAGCGCTTCCCTGGTAAGTGCAAGGGCCTGAGTTCAATTCCCAGTTCTGCAAAAAAAAAAAAAAAATTTTGGCAATCCTTTTTTTCATTCAGCCTCCAGCTGAATCACCTTTATATTTCTGTCCCCTACTCACACCTTATCTTTGTTCTAACAGGGTTTGTGGGATCTCCCTCTGTAAGACTTAATGTAGCTTGGATTAACTTGACCTTCTATAAGATTTAGGGTTTTGGGGTTTTTTTTTTCTCCGTTTCTTTTTTCTTTTATTTTCTTGCTGTTGCTTTTGTTTTTTGTATTTTTAAGAGTTTAGGGTTTGTTTTTCTTTTCTTTTTATTTTTGTTTTCTCTATCATTTTGCTCTTTATTTTTTCTTTTTTCTACTTTTTTTTCTTTATTCTTTTTTTTTTACATTTTATTTATGTGTGTGTGTGTGTGTGTGTGGCCAGCTCAGCCCACCAGGGGGCGGGGCTGGCTGGCAAGTGGTGCTGGGGGATTGGGCGGTCCCTGTGCTTTGCCAAGCTTGCTCTAAGTAGGTGCTTTAGACCACTGAGCCATCTCACCAGCCCTTTTTTCTTTATTCTTCATAATTGCTCCCACTGATGCTGTAAGAATAGTTAATGATCTTCTGAAACACATACCCAAGTAGCAAAGCAGCTTGCTGTGGATCTGTAAGATTTAGTTTTTTGTTTTTTTGGGTTTTTTGGCAGAACCGGGGATTCAACTCAGGCCCTTGCACTGGCCAGGGAAGTACTTACTGTACTGAGCCATCTCCCTGGCCCCAAGATTTAGTTTTTATATATTAATAAGCTCTTAGGTAATCTTTAAGATAGTTTGTGGTCTTGACCACTTTAAGGGCGTATTTGTAAGCTTTATGCGTATTTTTTTATTTTTTTTTAATTATTTATTTATTTTTATTTATTACATTTATTTAGTGTGTGTGTGTGTGTGTGTGTGTGTGTGTGGCCAGCTCAGCCCACCAGGGGGCGGGGCTGGCTGGCATGTGGTGCTGGGGATCGAACCGCGGTCCCTGTGCTTTGCCAAGCTTGTTTCAAGTAGGTGCTTTAGACCATTGAGCCATCTCTCCAGCCCCTTTATGCGTATTTATAAAAAGCCAATTAAAGCATTATCATTCTGCCCACTTGTGCATGAGGGATCTGTTTGTGTATTACCTTTTGCAAGCTGGGACCACAGACTCCTACCGCCATGCCCAGTGTGGCCAGGGAAAGCAGAGGTGGAGCCACCTCTCAGCTACATGGTTCTGCCGCTGACCTGTCGGTGTTGCTGCTCCTAGACAACAGAAGCAGTGACTGGGCACGTGGGGAGAGTGGGGCTGGGACCCTGAGTGCAGGTAGCACAGGAAGGAATGGCCACCAGATGCCCCACGCAGCCTGAGCCCGCTGCACAACCAGGGTGCACCAATGTGGTGTGTCCAGAAGGCGGGCACTCGTGCGCCTCACCGTTCTCTCAGCCTATGAAGACGCACATCCTTGACGTGCTAGCACGAACACCAGCCTCTGCAGTTTCCAGAGGCGTGCGACCTGGAGTTTCTTTTATGTCTCCTCCGACTCTGGGTCTCTACCAGGGGCCAGTGGCACCATGAGCACTTTTTTCTGTATTTTGTACTTCTCTCCCTTGTGTTGCTCTGACACAGAAACTTTGGGAGCACCAGATCTAAAACAGATTTTACCAGACCCCCAAGCTGAAAAGGTCTCAGGAGAAAGTTTCTTTCTTTCTTTCTTTTTTTTTTTTTGTGGAACCAGGGATTGAACTTGGGCCTTTGTGCTTGCCAGGGAGGCACTTAACCTACTGAGCCATCTCCCTGGCCCAGGTTTCTCTTTCTTAGTGAGCTCTCTTTATATTTTCTCCCATCTTATTCCAACTTTTAAATAGTCATGGTTCCCACCTGAGGAAAACACAAATTATATTGTAACAATTTCTTGTAATGTTTTTGTCAACTTGGGGGTGTTCAGTGGAGCTCTGGCTTGCTTCAACAACATACTCAAAAACTGTACATGTCTCTGATAAGTTCTACCCCATTATCTCAGCTAAGCTACAATCAAGCCTTCTTCTTCTTCTTCTTTTTTTTTTTGTTTGTTTTTTGTTATTTGATGGTACCAGGGATCGAACTCAAGACCTTGTGCTTGTCAGGCAGGCACTTATTCCACTGAGCTATCTCCCCAGCCCAAGCCTCCTTCTTTGGTTCAAACCTCTCTGAGTTCATCCCTTGGAGTCTTCTCTGTCTCACATCCTCTTTTTTTTTTTTAAATTTATGGGGGGGGGCAGCTCAGCCCACCTGGGGGTGGGGCTGGCTGGCATGTGGTGCTGGGGGATTGAACTGCGGTCCCTGTGCTTTGCTAAGCTTGTTCTAAGTAGGTGCTTTAGACCACTGAGCCATCTTACCAGCCCCTCACATCCTCTTTTTCCCCACTGGCTGTGTCTTCCCACTGAGGCCTCATGAGGATGTCCCTGTTCAGGCACCTAGTATCGGACCTTGGCAAGGCCCCCCAGCTGCCTGAATGAAGGGTATGCTAAAGGATGAAGAAAGAATGAATTTAGTAATCCACAATGGGGGACTGTGCCTCACGATGGGCAAAGACAGTGACATTCTTTTTTTTTTTTTTTTTTAATGTGTGTGTGTGTGTATGTGTGTGTGGCCAGCTCAGCCCACCAGGGCGCGGGGCTGGCTGCATGTGGTGCTGGGGGATTGAACCACGGTCCCTGTGTTTTGCTAAGCTTGTTCTAAATAGGTGCTTTAGACCACTGAGCCATCTCACCAGCCCGACAGTGACATTCTGACATGGCTACTACTTTTTTGGTAGTGGGAGTATTGGATGACTATGTGGTAGTCTTAGACCAGTGCAGATCTCATGTTTTTGAGGGCCCTTTCGGGTGACTCAGGAGGAAGCAGTGACCCTGTGCAGATGCAGTTTTGTCCTGGAGGTCGTAGCATCAGGGGACCGTTAAGGCCTCTGGACCCTGGCCTCACATTTGTAACTGGTGGTCCCCAACATTTTCCCATTCACAAAGGTTTTTAAGAGAATAAGTCACGCGTAGCGTCTTGAGCAGGAGCTTGTTTCTCTTGCTTATTTATGGATGCATCCCTGGGCTTCACTGGTGCCTGGCTGTCGTCACTGACTGGTGGTTGAATGGCTTGGAAAGGCAGCTTGGTGGCTGCCGGGAAGAGCAGCAGTGTGGTCCTGGGTGCTCGATACCAGGGAGGATGCCGCTGCACTTACTCGTCCTGCACAGAGGAAGTGATGATGGAGGCCACAGGGCAGTGGCAGCGAAGTGGTGTGGGTGGAGAGACAGCTCTGGGCCCGTTGTGGTCACTGCTCAGCCTGTTGGAGCTGGCCTCAGACCCAGTCTTAGTGAGAACCTTGGGGGAGCGCCACGCATCTGGACTGCAGGTCCCTTCTCGGGGTGTAGTTGTAATAGTGCCTGCCTGGCAAGTGCCTCGTGAGGCCCATTTTTTAGTCAGTGACATCACTGAGTGATTTTCAGGCGTAAGACTACTTTAGATGAGGTCATCTGGGCTGGCCTGCCTGAAGAAATGACAGCTGTAGCACAAATGGCATGGAAAAGGAGGTCATCCTCAGACCCAGCAAAGCACACTGCAGAAGTGGAAATGTCCGCTTGGATGTATGTGAGCAAAATGGAGGGCTTATCGCTGGCAGTGGTGCGCGTGTGGCCCGTGGAGGGCCTGTGGCTGTAGCAGAGAGCTGGGCGGGACAGGACAGAGCCAGCCCAGGGGAGGTCGTGTCCTCGGGGGCTTGAGCTCCTGGGAGGTTTTGAGCAGGAGGGTGGCATGCTCGACTTTGGGTTAGAGGCCACTCTGGCCTCCAGTGTAGGACACGGGCTGTCTGGAGGGTGAGTGACAAGAAGCTTCTTGAGAGTCATCCTCGCCTAGGGGACAGAACCCCCGGCTTCTTGCGGGCTACATCCCAGCTCTTTCTGAGATGTTACTTAAAGGAAGGGGCCTCGCTGCGCGGCTGAGCTGCCTGGGCACGAATTGGATTTGAGATCCTCTTGCCTTAGCCTCCCAGAGAACTAGGTTTACAGGTGTGCGTCACCGTTCCAGTTAGCCCACGTCTTACCCTTATTCTTTGTCTTCCTTCTTGCCCCTCCTCGGCTCAGGTGTGCTGGTACAGGCTGTCTGCTGCCACTTGGCTTCTTCCCTCGTCTCTCTTAGCTCTTGGTGGGCAGAGGACACGTGATTCTGTGTAGACAACGTGGTTATGTGAGCAGCTACCTGTGTGTAGCCTTGGGCGAATCATAGCTCTTGCTTTTCTGCTGTAGTATAGAAATGCTCTCATTTTTTGTGTCTGGAAAACTGATGGCTTTCACTCTTCCCTTTTCCTGAATGTTGGCCAGTATTTTGCTGGGCGCTGTACATTGGCCTTCAGAGGATCTCGTGGCCTCAAGGATAGAGCAGGGCACAGAGCTGGGCTTGTGAGCAAGCCCAGGTTTACCAAAGGACAAGTTCTCTGCACTGAGGCTCCAAAAGCTCAGCAAGCCCTTACAACTTCTGCTGGTGGTTTCCACCATGCCCTCTCTGCCTTGGCAAGGCCTATCTGGGCCAAGGCCTGGTTGAGGACCCAGTTAACACGGGGTTTTTTATGGCTTCTTTCATCAGGATATCAATAGCCTCAACAAGCAAATTGCTCAACTTCAGGATTTCGTGAGGGCCAAGGGCAGCCAGAGCGGCCGGCACCTACAGACACATTCCAACACCATTGTGGTCTCACTGCAGGTGGGGACTGGGACGCCTGGGGTGGGAATAGGGGTGTTTGCTGCCCAGCTGACCCCTCTCCTTACCTTCTAGTCAAAGCTGGCTTCCATGTCCAATGACTTCAAGTCGGTGTTAGAAGTGAGGACAGAGGTGAGAAGAACATGTAAGAGGGATAGGCATATGGGGTAAGGCCAGGGGAAACGGGGAGGGGCAGGTCCTCCAGGGTCGTGGGACCAGCAAGAAAGGCCTTGCTCTGGGCTCGCACACCTTCCAGAAGGCCTGAGGACCCTTTGCCTTCTTCCCCCACTGCAGAACCTGAAGCAGCAGAGGAGCCGGAGGGAGCAGTTCTCCCGGGCCCCCGTGTCTGCCCTGCCCCTCGCCCCCAGCCACCTGGGTGAGTCCTGGTAGGGGAGCCTGACTCTTCTTGTAAAGGAGGAGAGGGGCCAGGGAGATGGCTCCGTAGGATAAGCGCTTGACTGGCAAACGCAAGGATCTGAGTTCAATCCCCGGTTCCGCAAAAAAAAAAAAAGTCTGCCCATGTAGAGGAGGAGAGGGCAGGGTCACTCTGTGTAGTCTCAGAGTCCAGCCCATTTTGGGTCCTCGTGTCCCACACTGCATCTCCCACAGCAGGTGAACTCAGTCTTAGAAGAATGAGTATCTCACTTTTATATACTTAGTCACGTTTTCTTAACTTAATTTTTACAACCACCCTTTGAGAAAGCAAATACTGTTATCCCCATTTTACAGGTGAGAAACTGAGGCTCAGAGAGGTTAGATAACCTGTCCAGGGTCACAAGGCTAGTAAGTGCCACAGATAGGACTTACGTCAGAGTGTGTGGGCTTTGGACCTGTTTTTACCACTCAGCAGAGCCACGTCCCCCTCCTCCCCAGGTGGTGGCCCCGTGGTTCTGGGGGCCGAGTCCCATGCTTCCCGGGATGTGGCCATTGACATGGTGGATGCACGCACCAGCCAGCAGCTCCAGCTCATGGATGAGCAGGTACCACTCCACCCTGGAGTGAACAACCCTCAGTGCTTGGGGTCGCCACAGTATGGGGAGAGTGGGTGGAGTGGCCAGCTGGGAAGATCCTGAAAACCCACCGCTGGAGAAGGCCCCATGCTCACTGCTGTCTCCCTGCTAAAGGATTCCTACATCCAGAGCCGGGCGGACACCATGCAGAACATTGAGTCCACAATTGTGGAGCTGGGCTCTATTTTCCAGCAACTGGCGCATATGGTGAAGGAGCAGGAGGAGACCATTCAGAGGTGAGCCCCGGCAAGAGCCTCCTCTTCCTGTCACTGACATTGAGACAGGAACAGCACTGACATGTTGCCCCAGGGACAGCATGGTACCTTAGAAGAGTAGTGACTCCCACCACCAGCCAGACCAGGTCACCTTTCTACCCAGTGTTTCTGATCAGCTCCAGCCCGGGTGCTGGAGGTGCAGTGAGGGCTGGAGTGGTGCAGGTTTCTCCTTGTGGTGGGTGTGCTGTGACAGCTGTGCAGAGAGCCAGTACAGAAGCAGATTCAGGGACCTGACAACTGCAGCTCCACAGAGACCTAGGACGGTGTGGTGAGAAATGATCTGAGAAGGGGGCACGGTGCTCTGTGCCTGCAGGCCCTGCTCCAGGAGAGGCAGGGGCAGGAGGATTACTTTAGCTCAAAAGTTCAAGGCCTGCTTGACCAACACAGCAGGAAGTGACAGGGTGGCAGGGAAGGCTACTCTAAAGGAGACATGGCATTGGCACAGGGAGTGTCCCAGAGTGGGGATAGGTGGGTCCTGGCTCCTAAGATGGAACAGTATGCGAGAGTCTAGGCCAGTGTGGTCAGAAAGCTGCCAAGCTCTGGAGGAGAGACAAGGCCCTGATGTCTCAGTCATGGGGACACATGCAGCAGTGGGCAAGGTCCTTGTGAAAACATGCCAGGAGGTAGGTGATGAGAAGTAGACCCTAGGTTTGGAGGGACATGTTGTACTTTTGTTTATTTGTGTCCCCTGACAGAAGTTGTAAATGTAAAAGGACAATAAAGGCAGCCCCACTGGATGGCCTCTGACCTGGGAGAAGATCAGTTACGCTGTGTCAGGTCTCCATCAGTGCTTGGACACCAGGCTGTGGAAGGATGCACCTGGTCCTCAGCCTGTGGTGGGCACCTGGGAAGGGAGGTCAGCAGAGGAGCAGCCAGGGGTGGGGAGATCCTGGGGATGGGGGCCTTTGTCCTGAACCACATCCACAGCCTTTTTTTTTTTTTTTTTTTTTTTTTTTTTTTGGTGGAACCGGGGATTGAACTCAGGCCCTTGTGCTTGCCAGGGAAATGCTTATTCCACTGAGCCATCCCCGCCCCCCACAGCCTTTTTTAATTTTTATTTTTTGGAAGAACTGGGGATTGAACTCAGGCCCTTGCACTTGTCAGGCAATCCCCAGCCTTTAAAAAAAAAAAAAATTTGGGCTGGTGAGATGGCTCAGTGGTCTAAAGCACCTACTTAGAACAAGCTAAGCTCAAGCAAAGCACAGAGA